ATCAATCGATCAATCAATCATTCATTCGATCAATCAATCAATCAACCATTCAATCAATTGATCCATCGATCGATGATCAAACAACCCATTGATCAATCAATCAACCAATCAGGTCATGAATAAGTACCTGCCTGTACTACTCTGTCTGTCTGTCTGCTACAATTTCATGTTATTTCTCAGCGGCTTCCTCTTCAGCAGCAGCAAGTTGATAGTGAATACGTCTCAGTTGGCCAAGTTTTTCTCTTTCTTTAGTCAAATTACTTTCTAATTCTAATACACGGACTTGAGAGTCCATCTCCATTCGCTTGGTTTGAGTCAAGGTTAACTTTGAGTAGTCGGGTACAGTTTCTAGAAAAGTCAAAGATAATCATCATGAAATATGACTGGACTAGGTAACTATGTGAATAGTAAAATCACTCAATTCGCACTTACTACTGTCGTCAATCATCTCGGCACCAGTCTTCACGGACGCAACTACACTCGCGGCCGATTCTACAACTGTAAAACAAAGACGTCACAAAGTTAATTGCTGTCATTGAGGTAAATATATAATATACAGGATCATTGACTCTACAGCAGAAGTACAGGATGATATCTTACCATCYTTTGAAGCTGTTTGTAGCGATGAAAGCTTACTACTACCATGYTGTGCCTTGACTCTTGAGGCAGCCACCTAGTGTACAAACCACGAGTTATYTCCATAGTGATTTGGCAACTCCACGGYTAGCCTCGTCCCCAGTCTACTCTATGCCTATCGTCCGACATGACGTCACTATTCATTTTCCAAATCGTCAGCCATCTTTGATTTGAACTGACAGAGTAGCCTGGTGTCGAGGCTAAGTGGTACCGTGGAGGGACAGTGGGCAAAGTAAAGCAACACGGAATGGTTAAAGAGAATGGACGAGAGTTAGAGACAGACTCGAACGAAAACACCTGAACAGATTTCAAAGCGGCAATAAGTAAAGACTTTACTATTCATTGCCTCAATGTTTTCAATTTACAGTCAATAAACGTTCTCCAGGATTTTTCATACGTTTTAGGACGTAATTATTGACTTCGACTCACCAATTGTGCAGTACTAGCTGTGATTTCATTAGATGCGACGACAATTTCCTCGAACTTGCCTTGTCCTTGTACAACCTTATCAGCTGAATCACTAAAATMAACATAAAACGTTACTATAAAAAAGGGAGACAATTTAAAAACAAYTGACGATCCTGACCGAGCTGCTTTCACTTTCAAATGTGCTATTGTGACAATTCTGTTGCAATGTTCATTGAACAGTGACGTAATTTTCTAGTTCCAAGCATGCATTCTATTCCTGTTTAATACAATTCCCAGAATCCTTTATTTCTTTACAAAAACACCAGACTACTTGCACTTTGTCAAGAAAACACAAAGATTTTAGTGAATATCTAAGCAGAGATGAACAATCGCGAGGTCCTACATATTTCTTATAACAATCTGTTGATGATCAGAATCTTTGTATGACATCGAAGATTTCTACACTTACACAAGCACTTTGGCTCCCCAACCAACTGCTTTTGCAGCAGATATAAGTCCTTCTGTCCACCGATGGTGACGCTTGTAGAACTCTCTTGCAGTGGCAGTACCCTGTGATAATGAGTTTGGTTTAGTGATATTTTTAGATAGTCTGGTAGGGAAGGGTGCTGTATTTTTTGTTCTTTGTTCACAAAAAATTCAATTAGGATACCCGGAGCTGGACAGATCGCTAAGACCCCGAACTGTGCACCAACCAGTCATTTCGCGTAAATTTCAGGATACCACACAAAAACAACATCGATACTTGATAATTATAATACATGGTTTACATTACGCCCTTGAGCTCCACAGAAAAGATCGACGATCAGGATACTGGCAAGTGCGATTTTTTGTTTACAGTGCATTCAGTGAAACAAAATTTTATAAAGAGTACAATTAACGCTGTAATTGTTTCTCCTCTCGACCAATGAAAAAGTATTACATGGTTGAATGTACTGTAAGTTATTTATAGAAGTACCACCAACTAGGGTTTGAAATTACCTTTCCCTCTCCAACAATTTCTTCCTGAAGACTTTTGGACTTGATAATCAGTACTTTGATGGCCTGTGAGACAAAGAATAATATGTGATGTCACTAGAAAAAATGCACTTATCTATAAGAACTTATAGCGCGTATATACCTGCATCAATGATGTACATGAATCCAAGATCCTAAAAAATACAACAACAAATTGAGAAAAGTATGTATCCGTTGATAAACTAATCATCAAGAAACCAAGAAATCAATCAAGAAATCAATCAATCGATCAATCAGTCAATCAACTAACTGATTAAAAGCTAAGCAGCTTCATGACCTCAAACAAATAAGGCTATTTTATATTTTTGTTGTTGTACCAACCTGCCATGCACCTCAAGCTGTACTCCTGTATATTTTTCTCGTGTTTTGTTCAGCATTTCCTTAAAAAAAGACAAAAACCTACTGTCAACCATCTTTTAATCCAGTTTAAAACAAGACGGAAATCGAGTTCAAATTCATGTGTAGGCTGTCATTTCTCAAGCCAATTGAATTATATGTTGAGATTTTAAACAAGGGCAGGACCAAAAATTATAAATGGCGAATGCGACGAAGAATCAAAATGATGAYGATGACAGTAGTTGATTCGACGTTGAAAAAAATGGATTAAAATTAGATTTCATTAATACCTCTATTCGAAGTGCCGCATCAGCAACAAGCTGCAATGAAACCAAGAAAGGTATCATTAGCTTAAGAAAGGAATAACATTTTTGTTATGGACCAATATGGTGAATGTTATACATACTTCTGCTGTAGCATTGATCTCTTTGTCGACCTCAGATCCAATTGCTTCAGCGCTGTCTTTCTCCTTTGGTGCAAGAGCCTGAGACATGAATGGAGATGGATCATTACAAGAATCACCAAAGAAACAACCGTATTGTTATCACAAATACACTTATAATTGTTGGTTAGTTGTTTCATCAGTAGGCGAGCACAACACGGTGAGTTTAGCGAAAACACAAGAACCAAACTATGTATCAAAGGTACCAGAGTTACATTTTCGTTCCGTTTGCTCATATGATTACGTTGCCGCATTTCAAAGTGATCATGTAGTCAATATGTTATTTTGCGCTGGATAATCTGTAACACCCGATCTCACTCAATCAGAATTGGTAATACCTAGTGGAYTGACCTATAAATTATACATAAGACCGTCCTTTTAGGTTTTTCTACACACCTTTGCCACCGAGGTTATGCTAATCAGAYTTGTTTTGATTTGATTGACTTTGTCTGCAAGCACTTGTGGATCTAGATAAGAAATATAGTTCCAGCAATTTATGAATTGATGATAAGGTACTCAATGACACTAACTAACGGCCAAGGTCAAACGTCGTCACCGACTTCATTTCAAGAATTGGATACGGCTATGTTTAGAAGGCCATTTGTCCCAGTCCTGAACAACTGAATGAATTGACTGAATGAATAAAAGAATGGGAAATAGCAAAATTGGAGTTCGTCCATTCTACTGAATGAATAAAAGAATGGGAAATAGTAAAATTGGAGTTCGTCCATTCTACTGAATGAATAAAAGAATGGGAAATAGTAAAATTGGAGTTCGTCCATTCTACTGTTCTCTTTCTACTCTTCTTTCACTCTGAAGATGACTTCCATGCAGGATGTCGATACGTCAAGTAACTATAACAGTCTTCCAGACTTCACACACACGGACGATGATATTACACCTACATCTCTATCTCCCAGCTCTGAGATCCTTAGTTTTATAATAATTTACAGGATAACTATGGACCTAGCGTACCAATGTCCTTATTTTTCATGGATTCTAATAATTCCAGCGAAGTCTTTCCAGCAGATTCACTGTTTCTTGTCAATTCTACAAACACACGAAAAAAACATTTTAAGTCATGTTATATATGTCAATGAAAAGTAGCAAAATTTAATTAACTTTATTCTGACCTTTCAGCGATGGTTATGGTTTTTCGCTAGTGGTTGATTCTAAATGGCTGTTATGTGTATGTGTGTGCGCATGCGTGAAAAAATGAATTTGAAATACCTTGTGCTTCTTCAGATGGAGCCATGTGCGCAGTAGCCTGGGCATTAATCAAGCAGTCACCAAGACGATACGAATACGACGATATGAATGATACAAGAGGGTGGAATTCTAAATGAAAAAATTGAATGAATGAACATCACAATTTTAGACAACGGCAACGTCCCCTTAATCATAACAGATCAAGACTATAATGTACTATAAAACATTCTCGTTACATCCAAGATGTACCAAATATCCCTTTTCCAAACTCATGGATGTTGAAACTTGATATTATTAGGCTGCGTAGTGGCTCTAGGGGAAGGGGGGGGGGGGGGGGAGCGGAAGGGGAGGTGGTTGGAGGGAGGAGGGGAAGAAACAAGAGTATAAAGAAAACAAAGCAAACCATTTCAAATAACTAATCAACATACATGACCAGATGCAAAAGCAAATGTTCTAATAAGTATACTGAAAGTAATCAAACCAGTTTTTATTTACCGCTTTCCCTTAAAAATAGCAAATCAAGACTAACCTTCATTATTTGACTGGTATGACGAGAAACTTGAAGAGACATTTTCAAGTTGATCGGTAATTCCTTGTAATCGTGTAAGTAAATATTCTAAAAWTAARCAAAACAATATTAGGTATACAACTGTGAGCTTTTTATCAGCACCTTAGACAAGAAAGCAAAACATAGTTGGTCTATGATGTTTTCTTACTATCGACATTTTTATAAAATATGAGCGGGAGACCTTTATGGGCATTTAAAACTGCGACCTGACAATATCATTTGTAAGAGAAAATCGAAGTTAAAGTCGTATGCAAATCAGTACAAATCTCTTGCTCATATAAAGATGCGGTCACGGCAATGATTTTCCATTGTTTACCTTATGAATAATTATTGAATTTGATAATTAAACATTATTTTGTCCTTCATCATAAGACAAAGGCCTATGCCACTGAGGTTTAGTAAGTCATCAAGCCAGTAAGTATTTTTTCCCCAAAAACTGTTGACAAGAGTACTAATATAAACTACAGACTTTGTAATGGTAGCCTCTAACCTGCTGTACATGTCGTTGAACTATGATATGGATTATCAAACTGATCAAGAGAGTCTTGAATGACCTTTTTGCTCTCATCAATACAAAGAACTACAAATGAATTGAAGCAGTTATTAATTAAACATAATGATGAACTCTAATAAAATAATATAAACATAACAAAACTATAGAGTTGAGTAAGAATAGTAAAAGTGCATAAACACCACAAAATACTGCTGAACTATACTGATATTTTTTTTTCTTTTGTAGGTAGTAAAATTAGAGACCTCGGTTGTGAAATTCTTATGTAGTTGCCTTCTAATGAAGACCCTGCTTATAGTATAGTCAATGAGATCTTATACTAAAGGTACAGAAATGGTAAATACCACATACCAACAATGTTATGATTAGACTTCAATTGGTCATCTTTAGCTTTTCTACCATTCTCTTCTAACTGTTTATTGAATATAAAAAGAACAGTCAACATAGGTTACAAATCTGAGAAATTCAAGTGAGAAATTAAAGGGAGATAGAGGGAAATGGAAGAATGAAAAAGATGAAAGAGAAGCAAAAGTACAGGAGGAAAATGGAAGGAAGAAAGGAGAAATGGGAGAAAACCACAAAAGGAATGAATGAGGAAGTTTACATCAATAACAACAATTGAAAAATAAACAAGTAAAGGATTCAAAAAAAGAAAGGAAAAGGAAAATGGGAGAAATGAACAAAAGAAGGAAAGAGAAGCTAAATGAATAAATGAGAAAGAAAGTASGGRAAAAAAATCTTGTTAAAATAGAATTAAGTTTTCTACCTGTTCTTCATGTTTCTGCCTTTCTTGTTCCGTTGTTTCTTCTGCTTTTTTTCTGGCTTGTTCTTCACTTTCATGTTGACTTTTTAGCTTTTGTATTTCTGCATTTAGAGTTGAWACCTGAACAATAAAAGTCAGCCTATCAGTGAAAACACTATGAACTATYRAGTGACCATTTGTACATCCTTCCRTCCATTTCCTATCTTACCATRKTTTCATGTTCTTTTCTTTCCTTTTCGATAGTTTCTTCAGCGTTTTTCCGTCTTTCTTCCTCCTGTTGTCTTTGAAGATATGTTTCWGATATTTCTTGTTTTCCAGATGAAATCTTATTTGGGAAATAGAATTTAAGATATCACAACTTCTATAAATAGCTTCATTATACAGTCAATCTCATTAACATTGTTCAGTTATAAAAGACACAAAGCCAACAGTCAAGTCATTTTTTAAAATTCCCAGGAAGAATTGTAATTCTTTAAATTTTAGATGGATAGCAAATACAATGTTACTGACTTTGCAAAGGAGTTTTGGAAATTGATGTTTTTACTTAGAATATTTTTTCAAAGAAATTAAAAATATGATATATGATTTAAATTACTTCATTGTTGTCTTTACAACTGAACAATGCTAGTGGGGTTGACTATATGAATCTTAGAAAGCTTTACACTGCAATAAATGATGTGTCTCTAATGCTTCATTTTCATTCCTATGTTTTGAACTGGTGGAGAACCCTTTGAGATGATGCAATGAGAAATCACTCACCAAGTTTTCCAGTTCTTTAATCTTCATTTCCTTTTCCTTCAGTCAGTTAAAAGTAAAATTACATAAACCATTACAAAACAACATCAKAGAATTAAAATAACAAAACCTTTTTAGCCGTTTCCATGTCATCTGTTGCTTTAGCAGCTGCTTGTAATTGTGTAGAAAAATCAACAGCCTAAAGAATAACGCAAGACATGATCAGCTATTCAATCAGTTCACAAAAAAAACTCTTGCATCCCGACCTCAAAGTTTTGAAGCTTTTTGTGATTTTTTAACATTGACTTGGAAAAACTTTGTACTCAATCGCATCATGGGAGTGACTGCGTATGGATATCATTAGGCGATTATTATTCTTTAATAAATTAATATTATGTACAAAGAATGCCTAACCTTGTCACCATATTCTTTTGTTAAATTTTCAACAGTAGATTCTGCTAACTGGGAAGTTGAAATAATTATTATGAATGTCATGTATGTATATTAATGACCATTAACTACACTAGTTATATTCATACTCTTGTTACAAGCATTATGGACACTTGCTGAATAGCCATAAAACTAATCATTGGAACATTGTTCAGCAATTCATACCATATTCATACTTAAAGGCCTCAGTTTTTTTTATGATTTAGAAAATGGCATCACTATGCAGATCAATTATTAATTGCACATCCAATAATTAGAAATATTGAGAGCGTAAGCGTGCTACAGTATATAATTGCAAATTAGTGACCTGTGATTAGAATTCATTTGACTATGTGTTATTGAATAAATATTAATAGAAAAATACCATTAATATTCAAAATACTTGTCAAACCTGTTTAGCCTGTTTTTCTTGTGTGAACTCATTCTGAAGAACCTCTAGTTGGTTTTCCTATGTATAAAGTAAAAATTGATGATTTTTTTGATAGAAAAAAAAAGGTTGTACATTAATATAATATCTATTAAATTGTACATCATATTGTCATAGAGTAATATTACATAAACTGTAGAAGGTACGCTATGTTTAATATACAAACAATCAAGGTGATCTCAAGGTAATCTTTGTATGTTTACATAAGCAAAATAATTMAGTATACATGTCTATACAAGCTCACCTTGTTTTGTAGCTCCTGCTTTAACTCATCAGTCTCATCTGATAGTCCCTACAAAGCAAACACAAGTCAAGTTAAACTCTTTTAACTTTTTAAACATTTTATAAACAATCAATTACAATAGCTAATGATTTGTGGTGCTTGCACAAATGTATTAACTGTACAAAACTGTACAATCCCCAATAAATATCTACACAGCTGTCAATCTCGTAYCCCGAGCCTTCACTTTTCTTGGCCWGCGCCGTTGACAAACATAAGACTCTTACGTTTTCGGTGCTGGCCAGGAAAACGAAGGCTCGAGGTACAAGATTGCACAGTCRTAAATGAATTCATAACATGAAACTTACTTTTCTTGCTTTCTCTAAWGCATTAAGCTTTTGTTTGACTTCAGCATTCTGTTACAGACACAAAATGAAATACTATTAAACAGAGAAAGATYGACTTAAGAAGTGTTATTTACACTGTCCATCAAGTTATCTCATAATGTCCAGATGAGAGTTGGTCAAAGCTTTATGAATGCTATTACTGAATTAGCTAAAAACATGACCTTGACCCAGGATTAAGGCAAATTGTGGTTCAGACAACTTTACCCTGTATAATTATGTATCATTTTAGACATACCCCTCTTAGTAATTGAATRTGCTCCTCTCGTAACTTGCCATACATTCCTTTAAGCTTTGTAAACTTGTCATCACTTGCAACTACGAAAAAAAAAAAAGAAACAGCGGTAATTACATTGTTACATGACTGTGAATACATACAAACACATTTGCTAGAATCAAAGTAGTTTCTTGACACATCYGCATGTCTCCATAGTCACAACACTCAACAACATCCATTGGTTTACTAGATATATTATTAGTCTGTTTCTATAGCAGTAGCAAACACACATTCCCACCTTTCTTTCCTTCTTCCTTTTCTTCCAGCTCYTTCTTTAAAGTTGCATTTTCCTGAAAGTAAATAAAACATGTGCTAGTTAGAATCAATCASCATTATAGTTCAAACAATCAAGGCAATCAATAGCTGTCATTACCTCTGTCATCATTTCATTAATGCTTTTTTGTTCTGCAAGTTCATCTTCAAGCTGGAAAATAAATATAACAAAGCCAGAGTTAAAAACCTCATTAATAAAAGAAACAGACATGTTGAATTGGAAAATTTAAGAAAGGGGATGCAAATTCAAACAGCTACTATAAAGATTGAGAAATATATTTATAATCAAAAACAAAAACAACAAAATGGAAGGAACAGGATGGATAGGGAAAAAACACCCAAGAAAAGGAAGGACTACAATAAAAAAAGAAAAAATATGAAATGAAAATGAAATGTCATGTTAAGTTACCCTAGCTATTTCTTGCCGCAGAGAATCTTCCATTGTTTCAGCCTAGTRTGATGCATGATAAATGATATTTTATTACAATAAATGTTACGTACAAACTAAATTCCAACAAGAATGATGTGCACAAAAAACATTGAACAATTATCTAGCTTTTCTTTTCAACAAAACAACAAGGAATTGAGAATTACAAAAATCATATTCCTCATGAAGATAAGCCTACCCCTTTGTTGGGCTCCCTGTCTTTCCCAAAAGAGACAGGAAGCCCAACAAAAGGGTAGACGGACTGTAAAGGAGAGTAAGCATTTCACTTACATATGACTTTTGAGTGTAGAGTTCTTGTTTTAATTGCAATATTTCTTCTCTAAGTTGGGCTATTAGGGTATCTCTACTATCATGTAAACTGAAAATTAATAAGAAAAAAAAATTAAAGAATAAATGAATGGATGTAGTGATGCAAAAATGACTAAATCGAAAAGGGCAAATACATTGAAGGACAAAAATGAATAAGAAAATAATTATATGAACAATTGATAGAATAACTAAAAGGTAATTAGTTTCACTAACCTCTCATTTCGTGTTGGTGGGGTTGGTCCATCTTGTAAAGAGAGACCAAATAAATCATCTTCCTTGAAATGAGAAAAAAAATACACTCAATTAAAATTTAAAAGTTTAAAAATCAAAGAATTAAAGGTGATTTCATACTGGTGCAGATTCTGTCAATGCAACTTTCAGAGGTTCCATTAAGCTCTGGCGTTTAGGATCTGGTATTTTTTCAGGTTTTTTCTCTTCATAACTTGTTGATCTCTTGAGAGCAACTTGTCCACCAGTAGGAATAAATGATGGGGGGCTCTGGAAATAGATAATTTAAAGTTATCTGGTAATAAGCAATCTTTTCAGCTTCCATTTGTTTGTTCATGATATAGCGTTCTTTCATCAATCTCATCATTAAGTGTATTTTTTTATTTATTTCTCTATTCTTTCATCTAAAAAATTAATATAATATTTATTCACTTAATATTCATTCATTTAAAGTTCTGTTCTTTTTGTATTTATTTCTTCAATTTAATTATATCAATCACTTCATTAACGAGAATTGAGATGTAATATTGCTTTGGCAAGGGTTTTTAATTCAACATTCAATAATAAACTTCTGATGGATAACCTAACTAATTTAATTTCAATGGCATTTCCTTTCTTTTAGCTCTCCATCCACTTTCTCATTCTCTTGCTTTAGGACTTAACATTTAATCCCAACCCCAAACAATTCATTCTATTTGTAAAATCTTGGTATACACATGGGAATCTATTTTTAATGTCTACAAATGACTTACCTCTGGTAATGTAGGGACTACAACTAACGCTTTAACATAAGCCATGTTACCAGCATCAAAGTAAAAACTTCTTAAACTGTACAATTCAAATTACATTATTAATGTCTATAATTTGATCAGTATTAATAGTAGAAGATACAGTTTGAAGCTATTAATTAGCTGAGCTACACTAACACTTGTACTTGCGACAACAGTATGTGAATTGCAATGATCCTCATTTCAAAGTGTACAATACAATTAACACTACGAGCTGTACCATCAGTACATGTAGTTATATAATATTATACAAAAAACTCAAACATTGGAAGAGATTTTTCATACTCTTTAAAATGTTGATAAAATCTTATCCTATGTCCTTCAAGGGTGTCTGCAGGTAGACCTAGAAAGAGACAAAAATWACAAATATGATGTAATAGAAATAATATGACAAATATTAGCAAATTTTGTRATCATTAATTGAGAATCAGGGGTTGTGYTCACATGTATCTGAACCCACTACAGTCAACTCTCGCTTTTACGGTTACACCCGATTTAAACACCAGATTTATTTAGCGAATTGAAAATTGATTTGTCTCAAAATGAGGCAGGTCAATTAGTCTTTTCAAAACCCAATTTCACGGGTCATCTTGCAAATTTGGAAGGACACTCATCTTTGACTGGCCGTTACTTGAGCCCAGGATTYAGTATTTTACTGGCCGTAATATCAAGGTGTCCGTTGTAGCAGGGTGTACTTAAGGAGAGAGTTGACTGTATATACCCTGGACTTCTCCAAAGACAGCCAAAAGTCTTGGAAACACTCCATTAAAATGAAATAGGCATACATGTGCATGGAGATTCAACACTTAGAGGAAAGGATGTATGCAGACAATGCCTCAGGACTRGCTAGACTTCATTTAGTGACTGAGGACCAATAATGAGGCTCAAATGTGAGTTAATCCTTCTTTCAAAATCATAGACTTACTTGAATGTAATCTATACATCAGATCAACAGAAATAGAATACAGCCCAGAGCATTCCTGACAAAGGAAATAATGGAAAGCTAAATGTATAACCATCATTCTGCTAAATGACTATTGTATAACAAAATTTACTGGCAAAAGTATAGTATCATAGCAAGATACATAAGTCAAAGATTTGTCCAGGAATCAGTGAAGCATACCTGTACAATAACTGGAAAAGGGCATATTCTACACTGTACAGCGGAAATCTGAGAATTGGAGTGGTAACGATCCAGAGTAGCAAATACTATGAAAAAAAACACCCAAGATATTGTCGATTAATTCATTGTACTATAGCTAGTAAACACCCACTAATAAACTTTATTACTTACTTTTTTTCTCTAATGCAATTAGTGTATCCAAATAATCAAACACCTCAACAGAGAGCTGAAAACTAATCATCAAACATTTTATCTGATTAACAAGGTCTTTCAATCAGCTGGATTTCCTGTGGTTTTCAAATACACAGGAAACCCAAACTGAAAATAATTATCTGCGTTGCAGCATTTAACTGAAAACAGCAATATGCACCCTTGCTTCTAAAACACTGCAATGTCCCAATTGCTAATGTAGTCTGGAAACAATTACAGTGCAAACCAAAAACCCGTGGCTGACAAAAAATATTTTGGGACCGTATTTACCCATGTATAAGCCGCTCTCGTAGATAAGCCGCACCCCGAGTTTTAGGAACGTTTTCGAGGAAAAAAAGACGGACTTTTCTCTGTTTGATCGCCACTTGCGAACTCAGCTTTCTTTGATTTTAAAGTGCTTTTCCGCTGCTCGATTTCTGTGATCCATGCATTTTGTATGCAATTGCAATCTGTTTATTTAACGTGCGGTGTATGATGAGTTTGATCTTGGAGACATAATTGTTA